ATATCGTACTGACTGTATAACGTTCTTATAGAAAAGATCTTATTATATAACTGTGAGGACTCAAGTTCAATTATAAATTATGTTAAAATTCTCCTCGAATAAAATGATAAATAAATATTTTCAAATTAAAACTCAAATGTCTGGACAGACTCAATGAGTTTCAATGTTTTTATCGACGATTTGTGAGAGCTTAACTACTTTCCCAATTTAAATTTCCTATCTTGTTAAAGAATCTCAGGAAACGTGCGCATTGAGTATAATTAATTGCGGCGGAAACGTGAGATCTTTACAAACAAAATAATTAAAAAGCATAAAACCACGGCTTGCAGAGAAAAGATTATTTGAAGAACGTAAGTCTATATTTGAAATAATGAGCCAGAATTTTATTCGACATTGACTTACAAAATTTTGTGGAGTTTAGAAAATAATTTATTTGATTGAATATAGGAAACAATGTTTCAGGAGACATAGATGATTCTCATTCATCTGTTGCCAAAACTGAAAAAAATTTTAACTGCACTTTCTGTATTCCTGATACCTGATCCATATAAATATCAACGACTATAATTTAGTACCGTAATTTTTGCCCCGAGTATGTTGTATAGTGAGTAGTTTTTCTAGAATAGGGAATTTGTGTAAAGGGGTTAGTATAGAGTATCAGATAAACAGATCGCAAAGTAATAATTGTTTAACTTCTTTGACGAAAGCATAACTCCCCAAAAACTGTTGATATTACGTGAGATAACAATAAATAAATAGCTCAATTAATCCTAGGGTATAAGTCACGGTTTTAGAGTACTACACAGCACAGTGACTCTCTTTATAGCGTATCAAAATCTATTCTCATTACCGTATTTTTGCGAAATAATGCACAGGGAGTAATTTCAAATTTTGGCCTGAATTAAACTTAATGTGGACAGCAATTCGAAATAACGCGCACTGTGCTTTATTTCGCGAAAATACGTTATTTCGAGGTTTTTTAAAAATCTATTAGTAAATCTACTGTATCGAGTGGATTTCATTAAAGGCAGTTTTGGATAATAACAATTATATCACGAGATTAATTAGTTTCCGCTATTATACATGTATTTACTATGAATTATGCTAATAAAATATAATAAAGTGATAGTACATACGATATATATAAAAGATCCATATTAAAGTTGAGATTTGAATTGGTCCAAACTTGTCAAATATAATTATATTTCATACATGTACATATATATATGCATTTTATAATCTAACATATTAAAAAATTTCTTGATATTTAACTTTATAATTTTTTTAATAAATCTACTCAAATACCTTTTTATTTCCATATAATTAACATATTTATTAAAAGTAAAATTGAATAAAAATTATAGCTTTCTAATTTATTTCAATAATAAATTATATTTAATATAATTACGTAAATTCCCGAAAATAAGCTATTCATTTTTCAGTCAAAATCAGAAACATGCTACTCATCCTTTTCAAGCCAAAATCCTTTGCAAAAATTTAATTGATCATGGAATACAATTAATTGGTTCAATTTTATAATATTTTTATATAATTTTGTTCGAATTATATATCAATAATTTTGTCATAATAAATAATTAAATAATTAAATATTTTATTTATTACAATTAAAATATTTCTTTGTAATAATTTTCTTTTCTCTAATAATTTGAATTATTCATATTGTTTCTGCTTATCGAGAACAATTTTCATAATTCAATTAATATTTTTATATCCAATAAATATTTGAACTTAAAGAATATTATATTAGTTTTTAATTTTAATATAAATTATGAATGCTTGTAATTGTTATATATATTTTCTTGATAAATATTGCAAATTTATTAATAAAATATAAAAAAATTTATTTCAATTTACCAAATATTTATTTTTATATTATTCACTTTCAGAAATTCTTCATTCTATTAAAATAAATATAACGTCAGCTTTATTAATAAAAATTATTTTTTGTTGTATTTTACTAACAGAAGATTTTGTGAATTATGAATTATATTTGTTAAATTTAAAAAAAATTAATAACTCGTTATTAATAAAATAAAATTCAAATAAATTCTATTAAAATTAATATAACCCCAGCTTTATTAATAAAATTATTTTTTGTTGTATTTTACTAACAGAAGATTTTGTGGATTATGAATTATATTTGTTAAAGTTAAAAAAAAATTTAATAACTCGTTATTAATAAAATAAAATTCAAATAAATTTTGTAAAAATTAACAGTTTCAAAGAGTTCTCTCAAATAACATATAATTTAAATCTTTTGATTAAAAAAATGATTTTATTTGATTTAAACTCTTATTTTTAAATTAATACAAATTTCTCATATTATTTGTTGAGCACTGTCTGTATGTATTTTTTAATATGTTTTATTCATTACTTCTTACTATGCCCACTTAAGATATTAGTAACGAAGAATGACGGAGGTTTTGATAATACTTGCAATAATATTAATAAAATTGTAACAAAACAGTATTACATGTATATAATTTTTAATTTAATTTATTCGTATAATATATATTTTAATTAACGAAGGTATCCAAAATGCCATGAAAAGATATTTATCATCATCTGACAAGCAACCTGATGCTCGATATTTATGAATTTAGAAATTTAGTGAAATAGAATAAATTGAAGAAGGTTCGGAAGTGTATCAATGCCATTTGTAAATTCGGAATATACAATTAATTTCAAGAGCAATCAATAAAATTTGTTCGAGAAACAAATCCTGTTGCCCTAGTGGCTTTATTAAAATCAAGTGATACATATTCAAGATACGCGATATTTATTGATTATGCGGGAAATTATGAAAACCGTTTGCTATTGATGTCACATTCACCTTTGATATTTGTGAGGAAATTCGGAATTTCCGGATGACTTACCAAGAGTTATGTACTAAAAGTTTTACTGCATGCTCAGGATCGCAATAATGTAATTCATTGATTGATTTAGGAGAAAGCAAAATGAGCTACATGTACAAGGAAATTCGTAATTGTTTTAAATGTATATTAGAAAAATTATCAATGTGCAACTCTTTACTACTTGTGAAGTTTTCTAAAAATAATTTGCTCCTTTATGCATGTACGTAATTGCTGTATATACGTATCAGAATCAATACGCGAAACGTAAATCGTCGAATTGTCGCACAATGCGCCTCATATAAACGCACAAATTGAAAGCTACGTAAATGTACATGTTCTGTAGATTTAAAATAAAACATTGATTCGAACGAATTATTTCAATTATTATTATAAAAGGTATAGGCTGTTTCGATAATTTTCATTTGTATATTTCGATGGATCCGAATCCAAACAACGAATCATGCGAGTACTCTGCTTATAATCTATCCACTGTATATACGATGACGACTCGAAATATCTAATAAATTTTTCAACATAAAACATTGTTTGACGCTTAAATATGATGTCACTGGAAATCCGGGATTTCTTTAACCCCCATTTAGAACTCATGTTACTTCTGTCATCTTTTATCTCTGTAATATCTACTGATCATACTTTTGTGTATTATAATGAAATTTTTTGTTTGCAAAGATTTTAAATAAAAATCATATTATTAATTTATTTTCCGTCTACCGTAAAATCGCTTGAAATGCTCTTATCTCTGTGATCCCATCAAACCCTGTTTTTTGATTAGTAAGAAGTTTAGAACAGGGATAAGAATATATACTTCAGAGTAATTATCATAACTGGTTTTTGAAGAATATATTCCTATCCCTGTTCTAGAATCATGAAACCGCGGTTCGGAAATTATTTCCGGCCCTGATTCCAAAATTACGAACTTTTATAAATGATCATTTGATAGGGTCGCTAAAATAGCAATAAATATTGTACGGTGTGCTATTTTTTATGACGAGTGCATATTCAAAGTGGTTTATGGTAATCGAGCACGTAATTGACACTGAACAGTCAAAAATAAAAGATTATAGATTATATAGTTTGGCCATGGGTAATAACGGGTTATTTCCTGTTCTCTTTTTAGACCCGCAAAATACTTGTAAAAAAATCCAGATGAAACTGGGCAAATAAGGGAAAAAACAAAGTTTTACCAATTGATTTAACGTTAAAATTCGAACACAATTTAAAGTTTGTGACAGCAATAGCGTCATTTTGCAAATAAAATAGGTAGTCGATGTCGTCAGACTTAAAAAAGGTAATTGATGTTGTAAGACTCCAGAACAAACTAACCATATCAATATCTCCTTCTACCGCTAGTTCTGATTCTCTGAGAAAGAAAAATGCTCAAAAATGCATTTATTGTGTCATTGATTTTGAGATTTTTAAAGTAAATTCTCATTTACACGTACTAGGCATGTATGGATATTTTATCAATATTCCCAAAATTAGAGCAGGCTAAAGTTGCCTTTTTTAACTGTTATTACATTCTGTGAGAAATTGGAATTATTTGCAAATGGCAACGATCTACAATTAGTGTGTTTTTCTATTAATACATTTCTAACCAAAAAAGCTTATCCTTCCGACACAGACTCAAAGTTTTTGATTCTTGTTTTTTCATAATGTACTGTACATATGTCAAATATCAAAATGAAATCAAAAATGGTTCAAATATTTTTTTTTACATGTCTGAGATTCCTATTGGTGTCTATTTATAAAATTATTTAATCCATTTTAAATTTTAAAATATTTTTAATTTTGGTCAGAGTATGGAACAAAGTTTTGGGGGGGGGGGGGGAACCCGTGCATGTGGATGTAAATCTGGACTCAAAAATAGAACAGATGAGCATCTTGCGAAAATTTATATGTATAATGAACTCATACAATCTTGGGAATAAATACGCAAATGCCTGCATATGTGTTTATTAAAAAAATCTCACACTGTACAATAATAAACAGAACAGATTACTATTTACAAAAAACTCTGGGCATTATTCACTGAATAATTCCCGAAATAGAAATAAATAAAATATCTAAATATAAATATGCATAAAATCTATCATAATTTTAATTTTACGAGGATTCAGTGACTATATTAGTCAATTTTTCGAGTTGTTTTTCTAATTTTTGAATTTTCTCTTGGAGAGAGAGCACCTTTTCTTTACAGAAATTGCAGTTAGCTTGTGGTAAAATAGAGGAATCATAATTTGATGACAGGGGAGAAGAAGAAACAGAATCGTCTAAATTATCATTTTTCGAAAAGGGTGAATTTGAATAGTCTTGCGTTGGAGAAGAAAAGGGACCGGTGACGAAATTATCCGAATTCGAGGGAAAAGAAAATGGATCATAAAGATGATCCAAAGTTTGTGAAACGATATTGTCATCTTTAATTGATGGCGAATTAAAATAAGAATCGGGGAAAAACGATTGATCTGATTGATAAATGTTCGTTTCTAAAGTTGAAACGGGAGGTAAAATCATCGAATTTTCTTTTTGTGTATTGACATTATTAAAACATGTTGTGTCATTTACATTCGGGGTAAAAACGGGGGAACTTTTCTCCTGCTGAAAGTAGTTACATGTGAATTGTGCTTGATATTCACTTTCGATGAAAGAGGGAAGTCTTTCTTGACACATTTGTCGATAAACGTCTCTGGCCTCAGCAGCAATACGTTGATATTCCTTTCGAACATTTTCCGGTTCTTTCGACCAAGATTCTTTAACCATCGATGAAAGTTTCGGTTGAGTAATAACCGGATGCTTCATCGAGCTAAGCTCCTTACAGAATGCCATACGATAAGCGATGAAAGCGTTAGGTACTCTGGATAATTGGCCAGTACTGTCAAGTTTGGTTATGGCCTTCTCAATCAAGTTTATTGCGGTTATATCGGGTGGAAACTTTGGAGTAACTTGTGGCATTGAGCCGCATTTTTTGTTTTTGTTCACGGATGACTTGGTTTTCATTTCGTAAAAATGTGAGAATTTAAATTTTATAGACAAAAAGATGCGTTAAAATTTTTCTGAAGGCTAAGACGCAATAACAGAAAAATGTTCGTAAAAAGTTCGACAACCGCTTCTTTTATTGCCAAGTTGCTACTTTGCTCCAATTAGTAAGTCACAAATATTTGCATCCAACCCGGGAACTCTTTGATCGGGATCTCCGTCACTTGGCGTTGTTTACGTTTACTTACTTTAAAAAAAGGGGTCTGTTATTTCCAGGAGATACTTCCCTTTTTTTTTTTTTTTTAAACAATATACTATAATGCATATACAGTAAAGTAGTAAAGATGGTTAAAAAAAATTCGAACTTCGTTTTATAATTAGATTACTCATTAATGTTAATAATTAATAATAAAACAATCTATTCTGTCAGCTATTTATAGCATAGCCTATTGGTCATTCATTTTCTGTCGGTAAATATTATATTCTAAATTTAGACATACAAGAAAATAAAAACATTTTATAAATCATCCAATCTTTAGGAAAATATGTTTTGTTTTAACTTGTTCGATTGAATAAAGAATTCGTTCAAACATCGTCCTACTCTTCCCTTCTCAATAGAATTGTTGTCCGAAAAAGTTCAGTCAATAGATAATTTATGCATGGAAAACTTTTCTTTTGACTCTGAAGATTTAATGAGATATCGAAGAAGTTTATATGTTACTCGTACACGGAAAATTTTTTTCAACATAATTTTGTTTACTTGGTAAGAGGGTGAAAAAGAAACTCAGAAGAACTTTTCATGCATAAAATATTTTATAATGATAGCTCGTACACGCATATGTATAAGTTGAAAAAAATGCACCACACGTCATCAAGGCATATGGTGCTCTCGACAAATGAATACAAGGTCTCTTAGTTTATAACACACATACTTCTCTTGGGACTGTAGTTAGCATGTAATATGCGGTTTCTTTCGTTTCGTTTTGTTTGTTGTTATTCTTTATGTTCATGTCAAACGTTCAAACGACGCAATCTAAAATTGGAGTTACTCCTAAGGAATACATTAGAAAACGATCGCTTTTCTTATTGAGGCAATGGTAATTATTTTCTCGTGTCACGATTATTTTTCCTCGGAAAAATTTATTACATCATTGTTCTGCAAATCTAACTCCAAACATGTTAATTTAAATTTAAATGTTGTGGATCAATATGATTTGAATTAATGATGTAATTTTTGTTCTGGTGTGACTTGTCTGGATACTATTATTATTTCCGAAGAAATTGGCGTACATACATACATAACATACCAAAGGTGAAAAATTCGCAAGTTCGATAACGACAAGAACGTTATAACATTAATAATTCTTATTACAAAGAAGATTGAATTTTACATTTATAATTTTTTTAGATCGGCCGAGGATGATGATGAACACTTTCATGTATCATAGAGGAAAAACAAAAGTTTTTATAAATCACAAGATCTTTTTTGCTGACATTAGCACATTGTTATCATTTATTTATTTATTTCCGTATTCTGGAATAAATTGTGAACCCTTTCAAAAAAGTAACTTTCTGCAAGTGAATTAATCTAAATAAAGTTAAAAGGTTCGTCTCTTGTGCGTTCTCACAAGATTTTTTAGAATTAGCCAATCATTCAACTCGTGTTTCTCGAGTTGTCCCTCGTATATTTTACTTTAACCGGCCGTGCTGACCATGCATATGGATACTTAAATGATGACCTTCTATTTTTGACGAGACATTTAATCTCTCTACTAAGCAAATAAGGTTGCCGCGAAACCAGAATTTGTGACGTCATAGCATTTAGAATAGGTATTTGTATTACTCATTTTTTGTTACTTTAATAGGTCTACCGCATCCATTCAGATATGCAATGCACTCAGCCTGTTTAGAATGCACAGAAAAAATAATATGCATTGTGACACAAATAATCTGATAAAGCAAAAGAATTGCTTGTTACATGTAACTTGTTATTTGTATAACGAAGCGTTTCTTTTGAATATTTGTCTAATAATAGAGAATTATAAAAGAATAATGCTAAAGAAGTTTCAAATTTAAGTTACATGTAATTATTATTCATCTATTACAAATTTTTTCAAATTTTAAATTTAAAGAAGTCTTTCATCTGCCTTAAACAAAAAAGAATAACAATTTTGATTTCCTGATAAAGAAACAAGATTGTTGAACTTTTTCAAAAGATGCGTTAAATCAAATTAATGCTAAAAAAAATCGAAAATACCAAGAAACCTGTTGGTTAGTAAATTTTCGCTGCTTCAAAATTCCATTATTGATTTCGGACGCGTGGCAACACAAAAATCAACTAACATACTTGGTATTTTAGCATGCTGATTGTTTCTGATAATTTATTATTTTTATATACTCTGATGTGTCGTGTAATTTTAGTCTTATGAAATACATCATATTGTGCTCGTTTTCTGCTTGATGCACCTGATTTTCACCATGTGCAAAAATTTTCATCTATAAAAAGGCTCGGAATTTTGTATCAAAAATTTGTTGCTTCAGGAAGGCACAAACTATTCAATCAATTAACATTTAATGTTTTCTGAACGAAACCTGTAAAAAAAAAACCAATTTAAATAATAACAAAGAGCTAACCACTATCATAATGTCAGTTAATGAAAAGAGTAAAAAAGAATTGCCAATTCAACGTGTAGTCCCACGTTTTCCACCGGACATTACTATACAAGAATTATTAGAAAAAGCAATCAGTAAATTGGAACATACTGGGCAAGTTTCACGGATTCCTAATGCATTTATCGCCTATCGTATGGCTGTTTGTAAGGAACTTCATTCGATGAACCATCCAGTAATCACGCAACCACAACTTTCGTCAATCACGCAAGCGTCTTGGGTCGAGGAGCCTGAGCACGTCCGAAAAGAATATCAAAGAATTTCTGCAGAAGCACGAGAAATTTTCAAAAAAATCTGTCACGTATATATACCTCCGGAGTATCAGCATGAATTTATGCCAAATGATGCAACACGAAACGCTTACTGGAATCATCCTCAATTCGATGCTTTTGGTAATTTCGATACTTATACAAGGCAATATATTCCTTGTAAATTTGACGGTTCTGGTTCTGTTTCCCCAAACTATTCTTCGTCACATTACTCGTATTCGAATAATCAAAGTCAAAATTTTTCGAACATTCCACATCCATACTATTCTAATACAAATGAGCAATCCTATTGCCAGGAATTCCAAAACTACAACAACAACAACAACAACAATAATAATAATAATAATAACAGTTATCTAAATTCTTATTATTATAATAATATACAAGCTAACAATAATTATAATAATATAAATAATAACTGTGCTTTTGATGGGAATTTTTTGCCGGCATGTCAGATGGAACAATCCCCAATAACTTCAAACAATCAGAACCATTGCGCAGATCCGGATATATCAAATTCGCAAAATTGCCACGAAAAACATTTTCAAACAAATCGGTGTAATTGTTGTAAACAGAAAATAATCGAAATGCAAAACCGGATAAACGAGTTAGAGGATAGGGTAAGGGAATTGACTGCTTTAGTCGATAAAAAATATCCAGGACATGAATTATAAATTTTCTTCTGTATATATTAATAATGTAAACAATTTTCGATATTTATAATTTTCATATAAATTTTAAATAATGAATGTCTATTAACTGCTCTGTTGTATTTGATCCGATCTTGACTACTGTTGTATTAGAGAACAATAATTATAATCTTTTTAAGAATATAGAATTTAAGCTATTGAAAGCTCAATAAGGAACAAAGAAAAATTTTAATTAAAATTTACAATATATTTTTCAAAATTAATAATTAAACTTATATCGATACGAAATTAATTAAAAATGTACAGCATTCATCGATCATTTCCATTAAAAGCTTAACTTCTACATTTGAATTTGGTTAAAAAGGGATGCGTATAATCTTTAATACTTTAGCGGAAGAAAAGATTTTACAGAACTTCGTTAGACCATTTGATTTTTTAAGTTAATCAGACATCTATTGAATCAACATCTAAACAAGCACTTATTTTGTAAGACTTGATCAAAATCCTTGGTGTTTAACAATAATAATTTACTTTTCCGCAACAAAGATGCACAAAATACTCGGGAACCTTGATAGAACTTTTCCCAGAAATGACGAATTCATGTAATCAAAAAAGTTCATTACATAACATGAGAATTTTCCGCGAGCAAAAAATTTCTTACGGCTCTGTGTTTCAAGATAAAAGATTAGAAAAATCTTTTCGAAAAAATGCATGTAAAGGCTCTCAAACAAACAAAAAAAATTGCTGCAATGCTGAATATTTTTTTCGCCCTGCACATATTCCAATTTCTAGGATATATTTTGATGATCAATTGGCAAATAGTCTCATGTTTCCGTGTATACACACCCAATGAAACCGGAATGAAAACTTGGCAGAAGAGAAGAGAACGTGTTACTCAAAAAGAAATCACAATCAATCATAGATGCATTTAATCTGTTCAATAATGATCATAGAAAAAAGCCGAATCACGTCAAGCCCTATGACTCCAAATTATTAAGGAATATGTTCTTTTAAAGTGGTTATCCTACATTCTTTATTATTAAATCATTATAAGTCATTGCAGCAATTAGAATAAAGAGAAAGCTTCTTTCTTCAAAGAATTCTTTTTCCGTGAGCTTTGTGAATGAGAATATATATTTTAGAATAAATGACGTATTGGTACATTCAAATGGAATGCCGTTTCATAAGGGAGGACAAATCGGTCCTCCCAAACAAAGACAAAGCTTATTCTATAAATATTCAGCCCAAATGACATACTAACTTGTAAGAACTTAATGCAAAAAAACGTCAGCACACAGACGAAGCTTACGTTCTTATCTTTTGAAAATTTTTAAGAAAGACGCTATATGTTTGAGAATTTCAATATCAACACTATAGAAGATTCTAGTATAAAGCATAAAGAAGAATCAGGTCGGTTCCTTAGATAATAAAAACTCCATTTGCCAAGAGCGAAACTTGAAGTGTGCTACGAAAACGCACATATTGTCTTTCAATTGTACGACTGTCTCTTTAAGGAATGAGTCCACTTAATGTCAGCTACTTTAATATTTATTCTTGAGCTTAATAACTGTCGGCGCTGTGCTAAAAATTCCGAATATTTACAGTGCCATGTATTAATACTAAAATGCTAAATGAGACAAACATTATGCCATAATACATTATACTAGTATTGTTGATGAAACGCTTTACAAGGCTTTTACAAATCTACAAAAATAGACTTGATGCCAGATACTTTAATATTACTCTGAAACTTAATAAATGTCGGAGCTTTACTGAAATTTTCGCCCGAATATTTACAGTATTATGCATGAATGAAATACAGAAGAGTAAAAAAAAAGTCATATTATTTAACTCTTGGTATTGTTTAACGAAATGCTTCACGAGACTTCTTTTTGCGAGTCTAAAGTTCGAAAATAATCTTAGCGATTTTTGAAAGATGCGCATATCTTCTTTTACATGCATATCGAATTTGTAATTTCTAATTTCATTATCGTTCTTGACTAAAAATAGACGGCCGATCAGCATGCAAAATTTATTACTAACGTTATAATTGCAAAGCTATAAAGATTGATAAAATTTCCTCTTTTGTTGAAACATTATATGTCAATCAAAGGTTATTACCAAAAACTTACAACAAAGGTTCTTTAAAACATCCGATCTATCGTTAAATCTGAGAAATTTTCTTTATTCAGAATTTCTATGAGCTTTTAGCTTTTTCAGCCCGCTAGTTGTATTTTTCATAATCGGTTGTAATAAAAAAATCGAGTTTAATAAACTACCACAAGTATTTAACGTTATATGCAAAAATTCTTTTCAATAGTTGACGAATATCCAAGTATTTCCATTACATTTCTGAAAATTTTCGAGTATAGATAATTTTAGCAAATAATGCAATATATTGTATAGCAATACTTAACGCACTTTCCTTGTATGAAAACAGGCGAAATTTCTCTACGAGTCTACTACTTTGAAGAATGATTTTACAGTGATTACTTATATAGTGAAATATAAAAAAGTAAATTTATTTATAATATGTCAATCAATAGGTTATTACCAAAAACTTGCAACAAAAGTTCTTTAATCCATCCGATCTATCGTTAAATCTGAGGAATTTTCTTTATCCAGAATTTCTATGAGCTTTTAGCTTTTTCAGCTCGCTAGCTGTATTTTTATAATCGGTTGTAATAAAAAAAGCGAGTTAACGCTATATACAAGAATTCTTTTCAATAGTTGACAATATCCAAGTATCTCAATTATATTTCTGAAAATTTTCGAGTATAGATAATTTTAGCAAAATAATGCAATATATTGTATAGCAGTACTTAATGCACTTTCCTTGTATGAAAACAGGCGAAATTTATCTATGAGTCTATTACTTTGAAGAATGATTTTACAGTGATTACTTATATAATGAAATATAAAAAAGTAAATTTATTTATAATATGTCAATCAATAGGTTATTGCCAAAAACTTACAATAAAAGTTCTTTAATCCATCCGATCTATCATTAAATCTGAGGAATTTTCTTTATTCAGAATTTCTATGAGCTTTTAGCTTTTTCAGCCCGCTAGCTGTATTTTTATAATCGGTTGTAATAAAAAAATCGAGTTTAATAAACTACCACAAGTGTTTAACGCCATATACAAAAATTCTTTTCAATAGTTGACGAATATCCAAGTATCTCCATTACATTTCTGAAAATTTTCGAGTATAGATAATTTTAGCAAAATAATGCAATATATTATATAGCAATACTTAATGCGCTTTCCTTGGATGAAAACAGGCGAAATTTCTCCTATGAGTCGATTACTTTGAAGAATGATTATGCAAAATTTTACAGTGTTATAGAAAAGTAATTACTTATATAATGAAATGTAAAAAAGTAAATTTATTTATAATAAAGCAATAAAGTGATTACATTACTTTGCCAACCCACTAACTGACACCAATTGATAGTAATAATTGTATGTTATTTTAAATTAATTTCAGGTAAGCGTGACATTTCTATTTTGATGACGTCGCATTATAAGAATTTAAATTCGCATTTAGTTTGTTCCGGCCAACTTTACACTAATTCTATATCTTGAAATAAAACCTTGCGTTTACATGGCGTTTAAATGAATTAAATTAATTTGTTTATTAGAATCCTTTCTCTGATTATTAAGTTCGGAAAATTTTGCTTGGCAAAATAAATTATGCATATGTAAAGGTGGCGTCAAATTTGTTAACTATTGACTTTAAAGGTATTAAAAATTTCATGTTTACATTATTAATTATGAAATCCAAGGAGAGAAAATAATCGAAAATAGTTGCTTGGCGTAAAACACCAATTGATTGAAAGATAATAAGTTATGTAAGAAATTAAACATTGTAAATATTAAAATTATGGTCTTGTAAATTTTATTGGGAATCGCACCACTTAAAAAAATAATTCATTCGAATATAGATCCCGGTCTTTGTCTTTTTGTTCTAATTAAGTTTTCAAAAGAAATTTAAGGTTTTTCTTATATATTTGTGTCTACAGGGCATAAAGACAATCTTTAATCGAATTTTTAATATTTACATATTATTCAATCTAAATAGTTTTTTTGTTAAACCTGCATGAATAAATAACCAATTGCTAATGAATGATCGAGATTTTCTTGCTAGCAACTTTTTAGAGATCGCGTAAAGAGAAATGCCATGCCCTGCATAAGTTAAATACCAATTTGTAGCGCAAGCGGTTTTTAATCAAGTGATCTACCCGAGGATACAGATTCCTTCTCATCTATAATAATGAACTCAATAAAACGCTCAGCAAAAAAGAATAATTCTTATGCCATATGGAATTTTTAATTGTAACAATAACTAATAATTTCCATTTATGTCAACATTTTTTTTTGAACCATTTTCGGTAGACAAATCAAAAAAGGATGATGATCCTATATGATAACCAAAAAGAGGCAAATCCGATGCAGCATAAATTTTTTGTGTCATCCAGATTGTTAATGACGTGTTTTGTCATCAAAAATTTTCGAACAATTTATTTATTTGTAGTAAAATCAATCTGAAAAAAATTGATTTATAGTCAGATAAGAGTCGAAACATATTAATAATTACACGTCAAAGAATTACTTTAAGTGTAATCTTTTCAAACTGTGATCTAAAAAAAGGGAATTTAAAAATCTTTGTTTCGGTTATTTAAAATTTTTGAGTCATATAAAATGCAAGAAAATGAAGAGAAGTTCTCTTTCAGCGAATAATTTAGGTTAATGCATATGTATGTGCGTTAAATTCTGTTCTACCGAAAAAGGAAGCCAAAGTAGATATAGATTAATTTTAAAGATTTCAATGCCAAATAGATTAATCTTTGTTTATTTGAAAGATTCAGCATTTACTCTAGTAATCTAAAACTCAAAATTTGAAATATTCTCAACGTTCGAATTAAAAACTTCGCCTTTTTTTGTTCTAAATCTGATGTTGTACTTTTCTAGGTTTGGCTTGAAAAATAACAATTATATGTCTCAAGTAAAATACATGAAAGTTTTTCATTGAGTATTGTACTCGTTATTTTTGAAATCTTTATGTATTGAAACCAATCATAACCCAGCTAAAAACTTTAAGTTAAAAATAGCCTAAAAAATTGAATGAAGATGTCTCTCTCAAAAACGATATAAAAATGCCAACTTAAAGCTCCAGAAAAGTTTGATTCACGTCGTCAAAGATACAAAACTCCTAGCAATAAAAACGTGTTTCCCAGAGACAACTATAATAGAATTCCTTTAACATAAATTTTTCACACTTTCTCGTTCAACCTGTCTCTGCAAATTATCAAATCAAACAATAACAAATCATCAAAATGGAGTCAACCTCTGACAGCACAAATAAGGCATTTGACTCTCCAAAAGAAACAATCCCTCAATATCCACCGCAAATTACACCAAATACCTTGATAGAAAAAGCAGTCGAAAAGCTCCACAAGACTGGAAGAAGATCAAGGATCCCGAATGCATTTATCGCGTATCGTATGGCAATATGCTCGGAGCTTCGAATTAGCGAAAGTCCAGGGTTAAATCAGCCAAAACTTTCATCGCTGGCAAAAGAGTCTTGGAAAAAGGAGCCTGCCCATGTACGGAAAGAATATCAAAGAATTGCTGCGGAAGCTCGCGACCTCTACAAAAATGTGTGCGACATATACGCGCCCATTGACGAACATTACGAATACAACGATAATAATTATTTCTCGCAGGCATTTTGTGAGAATGATGCAGAAGATTACTATCAAGAAAATTATGATATCGATGATAATTGTCAAATCATCGAGAGTGCAGATTTAGCAGATCTTGCATCATTTCCTTCTGAGCAATTTCATCAAGCGTTACAAAGCAATTATACGCAACAATTTATGCAGACTTCCGTTATAACTTCAGCGCCTACGATCTCGACATCTTTAAATACAAATTATACTTCCAGTCAAGAAATTGGAGATGCGAAATCTTATTTATCGTCAACTTCTAACGGTCATTACCCTTATATAAATTTCGAGATTGAATCCAAACAATCGAATGCATTCAATTCTAACTCAACACCTATCGATCAGGACAATAACATCTCTTGTGATTTTTGCACTGAAAAAATAATAGATATGGAAAATTCGATTCAAAATTTAGAAAAGAAAATTAGTCAATTACATGACTTAATTAATGAAAAAGACAAATCATGAAACCATAAAATTCATGCAATTCATAAAAGATAAAATATGCAATATATTAAGATTTATCTGGAATTCAACTAATATGATTTTTATTTCTAATTTCAACTTATGATAAATAAGAGATAATACAACTCGTTATGTTTTTATATGCTTACAGATTGAATTTGAATTATTTCGCTTAATTTTCAAACCTAATTTTAAAGCACAATTTACCAAACATTATTTCATTATATGTATAATTTCCTGAAATGTTATATTGTAAACGATAATTAAAGTTTTAATATTATGATAAGTAGTGTTATCAATCTTTAATCAGTGAATTTAATGTTATTCTACAGTTATTTAAAATGTTTCTTTGTCGCCCGATCTTTAGAAATTACGTGAGTCATATGACTGACAAGATCGCTTCTAACTATCTTTATACAATTGCCTCGATAATCATTTCTTAATTAGGAATTACAGGTTTATAATAGATTAGGCCATATAATAGAATTAAAATTTTGATTTAATTCCTAATACTAATTAAGAATAATACAGTGGTAATAGTCTGGTTAACAAATTTTAATACATGTGTATGTGCAAATTGAGTTCTTAATCCTCTAAATAGAAAAATCTTTTTATTAAATTTGCTTTGTCAAAGCGATCTTCTGCATAATGCCCCGAAAAAGATTCAAAGTTGATGCTAGAACTTACTTTAATACAGGTGGTATGAAACTAACTATAATAAATAGGCGTTACCAATTTATATAATGGCCTGCGTTTTTATATGTTAAATTTAAAAGAAACGGAGACAGATAATATGGGTGCCACCCAATATCCCGACAATCCAACATCCCGATAACCTAACGTCCCGCAAAATCCAACTTCCAGGCATAAATTAGAAATTAGACTAGTTTGTCGGGAAGTCGAAGTTAAGCTTGTCGGGATGTTGAATTTCGAAAAGTTGGATTGTCGGAATGTTGGCTTTCGGGAAGTTGGATTGTCGGGGGAAGATAGGTGCCGGGATGTTTGAGTTAGACCCATAATAGATAATATGGGTGTTCTTGTGTAAATTATCTGTAAGTGTTTAACGGTGGTCACAGAGGCACCTGTAAATCCATTGCAAATTATAAGGGGTTGCAGTCAAAAACTGTCAAGTTTTGGCTTTTTGAATAACGAAATCTCACTTGACCGTAATACTTGAAAATTAGCATTAGAAAGCCAAACCCATTTGGTGTATTTAAAAAACCTGTAATTTGTAACGGATTACAGTGATTTTACAGGGAAATCCACATATAAAAATTTACAGTGTATTTTTTTATAGGATTTATTGATAGGAAAGTAAGACTATATATACAAGATAGAATTTTCAGAAATTAGCACACAAATTAAAATTTTATGTATGTATTTAACTTACGCACATAAAGAAAGTGTGTACAGTCAAAGCTTAATTTATAGATGTGGTGATTTAACAATACTGTTCAGTACACATGTAAATAAAATCAGCTGTTACCGAAGCTTAATGATTTTGTCGTAATTTAACATTTATCGAGATAGATTATTAACCCTACTCTAGAGGGAAAGTATTGCGATATTGCGCGATAAGTTTGAATTAGCGATTTTTTAAAATTTATATAGCATTACCAATACTTCACAAGTCAATTTTGAGTTTTTGACATGCAAATTTTATTCTTTCTCTGGTGATTTAGCGCAAACCAATCGTTTAATTTTCGTGAATTAACTTTTCACGTGATATTGACGATGTAATCGATATGCCTAAAACATTTGCATTTGCATCATTAAATCGAGCTCTGATTGTATACCGATACCATTCTCAGAATTTAAGTGCAGAGAGGAAGTTGATGAATAAACGCTTCATTTTTATGTCTGCCAACATGCCTGGTAGATTTTTATTTACAGATAGCAAATTTAGTAACGATAAAAAATTTCGTTGATTACATGTATTAATCACGAAAGCAATTACGAATGTTGAATGTGATGTGATGACTAAGCTGCTAATGATGCTGATAAGTAAAAGTAGTAACGGTAAGATATACTGTTTGTTATTCATAATATGAGTTCGTTACGTTGTTAATATAATTTTTAAGAATTAATCATAAGACATTGGGTATAATCTAATAAAACAAATGCTGGAATTAATCTAGAATTGTTGAGTTGCTATATTTTTTATCGAATTTGACATGTTTCTCAGGGAGAAAATTATCATATAGCAAATTGATAGTTAATAAATTATAAATAGTTGTGATTCTAACGAAGTCGAAGAAATCAACATTTTTGGATTATTGGTGATGAACTTGTCCCGCGAAGAATTGTTTATAAGTCAATTATAATGACCACTGACAAAGGATGCGTCATAAATATCCGTATTACGTATTGAGGTTAATATCGTAGCCATTCCCAGATAAAAGAGTTGTTACTAATCGACACTAAATATGGGTAGCATAACAAAATCGTATTCCTTTATTTGGGAAAATCCATCTCTTAATATTTGTTTGGCACATACCTATAATTAGGGATACAAATTTCTAAGATTTGAAGAGATAATTGATGGATTATCACTTTAATCTGCTAACTCATTCTTTTATCGTTCTTTGACATTTTTTAATGCATGGATTGGTTAAATGAGCTTCACAATTCTTTTGGACGCAGTGGTTTATCCAGAATAGCCACGTTTTGATAACTCTTCGATAAATCATCTTATGAGAACATTTACTTTTAAGAAAATGATTTTCTCGTGTTAAGGACTTAACCCATAATAAGAAATATAGTTTTTCTCCTTCATACACTGTTAACAGTTCTACATCTTTTCCATCATGTCATTTTATTAAACACAGTCAACCTCGATATAAGAAACCCCACGGGCTGTTCCCATTTGATTAATTCATTTCTTATAGAGGAAAATTTCAATACAATTTGGCTGAGAAAATGCTAATCTTAGACCATTTACTTTATTTTGAAATAACACCATGAAAGTTCTGAAATAATGCGCACTAGTATAAAACATATTAACAGCGAAACTGGCACTACCTTCCATGTTTTAATGTCATTTGTAATGTGAGATATATAAAATTAACACAGAAAATAAGCTATAATCTCGTTTTTGAGCTTAAAATTATTAAAAAGAGTAGTTTATTTTCGAACTTTTATGGGCTTCAATCTATTGAATATTATAAACGAATTACAAATTTTGTGTCTGGAAACTTTTTTTCAACAAGTTTTACTAATAGTTTCTATCGCTTTATCGATTACATCATCTATCAAAATCTTCAATTTTTCATCTAATATTTAACTTTTCATTCATTTTATTTTGAAGATACCTATTATTAGAGTTAAGCATAAGTCAAAAGATTTAGTTAAACATCTGTGCTAATTTCTTTCCATGTTTCTGATATACGCTTGCAAAGTCGGTTTGTAAGATGTATTTTAAAGGATTCTTTTTACATTAAACCCCTTTTCTCATCTCTTTATATCTGATTTCACTAGATATTTTATAATGTTCAAATTTTTTTATCTTTATTTTCTTTGTTAAATTTTATGGACATAACTATTATACAGAGGACTATCAAAAGTTTCCGAACGCTTTTTTACTCAATAAAAATTATTAATTTTTAGAGTAAAAAACGTTAAACCACTAATATGACTTTATTTTAAGTTTATTATGCTCTATATTTCGTATTATATACCTAGTACTTAGTTGGACCTCCTTCTGCCACAATCACCGCCTGAATTCGTGCTGGCATACTATCAACTAAATATATTTTTTCATGCATCTTTGACATACTTATCAAGCTCTGCAAAATTGGTTGGTTTCTTCTTTCATTTTTTGAGGGTTCTCTTCATCTCAGCCCATAAATTCTCAATCAGATTGAGATCTGGGCTTTGAACAGGCCAAGAAAGAATACAGACTCTTTTCTATATGAAATACAACGGCATTCTTTGTTTTATGAGATTTGGCATTATCTTTCTAAAATCAACCATCATTTTTTGAAAACATGTGTCTTATTGTAAATATAGCACACTTGTGTATTATTTCAATATATGTAATTTCAGTTACTAATCTGTATAATAATACAATTAGTTCTATTTTCTGTCATGAAAAGCAATTCCAGTACAGATAACTTGTACTGTATTTTATTATAGCTAAACACAGGAATAAGACCATTCATCTTGTGATTCTCTTTATATTTTATTAATATAACTTTACTAGAATTTAGTAAAAGTTGATTCATCACTTTATAAGACTTTTATTTACTTCTTTTTTATTTAACTTTCATATTCTAAATATTATGCAAGATATACTGTCTTATTTATTGATAAAATAGGAGATTTATATTATTTAATACAATTTTTTAATTCAAAAAAATGAAAATTATAATAAATTATTAATATAAAGATATTTCAATTCTTTTTTTTCAAAATTCTTTTACTTTAAAAAGATATAACTATTAATTTTTTGTTATTAATTATTTGAATCATTTTTGTTAAATAGTATTAATTAAATATAATTATTTTAAATAAGATTTAGAATTAATAAAATTAGTTTTAGTATATTATTTTAATATATTACAAACTATTACTAAATTATATCTAATGATTTCTGTAATTTGATAATATAAATCTTTATATTTATAATAATAAATATAATATTATATTAATTTAAAGTTAACTTCTTATTTTTTTCTTATTATAATCTATAAAAAAAACAAAATACAAAAATTACCCTTTAAAACTTAAAGTAAATAAAAAAAATATATATAAATATAAATCTTTTCTTTTATATAATAAATTTTTATTTTGAAAAAACTTTTAATAATTCTTTATAATAATTTGTAAAAATCAAATTTATTCTGAACTTGCTTAGATAAATTTATAAATACAAATAAAAAATATTATTATATTTATAAAAAACAGAATATTATTTATTAATATTAAAATAAATAAAGCTTTTAAATATTATAAAATTTAAATTATTATAAAATATATAAAATATAGTAAAAATTAAAATTTTCTTTTTATATTAAATTTTAGAATCTTATAAGAAATAATTTATATTTTTATATTAAAAAAAGTTTACAAATTATAATTT